TGTGTAGAATGGCTCTCAGCAACCATGCTCTGATTGTCTATAAAACTATCAGCAGGGAGCCTACTCATTGGCTCCAAAGAAAACAAGTGAACAGAGCCTCCCGTCTCCAGCACCATGGAGAGCGCCAAGCACCTCGGCCTGTGTCTTGCAAGCTGCTCCAGAGACTGGCTGCCCCTTGCCCTTGACTCCAGCTTTAGTTCCCTGAGCCTCACTCCCAAAAATGCTGCACATCAGGAGAAACAGCCTCGGATGCCAGAGGTGCTGTACCTCATTGGCACTAAGTTCAAGGCTGAAGAGCTGGAAATGCAGGGATAGTGCTGCTGAGGAGGAGTGTAAAGAACTGAGTCAGTACAGGTGAGAGGCAACCTCTGCAAGGCCAGGACTCTTAGCAAAGCTGAGAGGGCAGGAGGTGCCGGGAAGAGAGCTCATCCCTGTCAGGGAAAGCTGGCAAGGGCCTCCTTCCCCCAACCAAACAGCAGATCCTGACCAGAGGCCTCTCACAATGCAAAACGAAGTGTGCAGAAGCCAGACAGGAAGCTCAGAAATCCAGGGAAGAAAAGGAAACAGAAATAAGAAACCATAGAAGATGCAAATAGGGGGAGAAAATACAAGAGTGGTTCTCTATGTTTGCAGCTGCTCTCTGTGCGAGGCGTTCCATGTTCTGCATCGCCTTCTCCCCTAAGTTTGATTACAGCACATCACCACTGCAGTTGCTTCACCTTTGCTGGCAACTTGAAACCACAAACAGGCACTGCTCCAGGAGCAGTCGTGTTAAAGGGTGCTGCTTCCCCTGGCCAGGCTGGGCCTCCAGGTCAAGCTTGGCAGCCTCAGAACCAAGAATGAGGCCAGCACTTCCTGGACCAGGCTGCTGGCCTCAGAGTGGAAAGGAGAAGGAACTTGGGCTTCTCTTTTTCCCTATGTCTACCTCAGTTTCCTTGCTTTTTCTTAATATGGAAAACAATGGAAAGAGGCAGCTTTCAGGAATGCCAACACCTCTCTACCACCCCCAGGTGAAGGGCTGGACTGTGCTTCCCATTCACATGTTGAAGTACTAAGCCCCAGTACCCCAGAAGGTCAGGTCACTGCATATGCAGGAGGTTGAGCTGGGTGAGGTAGGTCTTGATCCAGCATGATGGTATCTTGATGCACATGGCAGGGGTGGGATTTGGACACAGAGGCACACAGGAAAATGCCACCTGTGGCCTGGAGTGATGCGCTGGACCACAAGTCAACAGAATACCAGGAGTTGGGACAGATCCTTCCTGGAGCCCTCAGAAGAGCACAGCGCCACCCTGCCTGGGCCTCCGACATGGCCTCCAGAGCTGCTGGTGACGAGGTGTGGAACTCTGTTATAGCACCTGGCACACTACTAAGGCCAGCTGGAAGGACAAAGCCAAGCTGGGAAAGCAGAGCTCAGACATGGCTCCTGGGACAGGGCCACCTTGAACCAGACTCTAGGAGCACACACCAAGGAGAAAAGTCTCCATCCAGGCAGTGCCAAATGCCTCCGTGGCAGGCGGAGGAGGGGTTCAGTGTAGAGCCAATGTCACCCTCCTGTTGCACCAGCTTAGGACCTGGGTCATTGGCTCTGAAGTCAATGCCCATCAGGAAAGCCCAGGTAATAGAAGGGTTTGAAAAACCACAGCTCAGGAGGCACAACCAAGGCAGCAACACACAGGGCACCTGCAAACCCTAGGGTCAACGTCCCAGGGTCTCCTGCCTTGGCTCCAGCCTGGGAATCTTGGTTTTGCAGCAGATCCAGCTGGCACCTTTGACCTCCAACCAATGGAACCGTTTCTTTCAAGGGGGAGGACGTGGATGTCCCTAGCTCCCTTCCTTCCTCACCTCACTCCTATCCTGTAACCTGCTGCTGACCCCTCCACCACCTGCCCTGCACTGGCAGGGGCTCCATCAGAGTCTATGGGGGCAGGGGCTGTGTTTCTGATGAGCTCGCATATTTAGAAATCCATCAGAGGCAGCTCTGCCAAATGTACCCAGCCATATGTGGGCCCCATGTTTATTTTCCTGGCTTCAGTTCAAAGACAAGAGCACTATGCACTAGCAAATGGATACTAGAAACCCAATTTCCCCCTCTCGCTGGTGAGCAAATTGCATTTATTTTAATGGTATCCAGGCTGTTGATTTGTTTAAATCAGTTAAATGACCAGAGTGGCATTGTTTTTTCTGCTTGTTAAAGACAGTTATGCATCCCATTCATCAAAGCATCCTGGGCATTAAGGCCCTGGCAGGCTCCAGAGAGGCCCCTGGGGAGGCAGTGGTCACTTCAGCCATCTGCCAGCCCACAGCCGCACATGAGCAGAGCCTCCAAGCAGGCAGAGGAAGCCAGACAGAGGTGTGGCTGGAGCTCTGACCGCCAGCCATCTCCTCAAGGGTCCCGGGGCGCTGGGTGTGCCATCCACTCTGCAGCCAGAGAGGGTGGGGCTGGGGTGAGGGGCGCTGAGATCCAGTTAAAGGGAGAGCATGTTCCTTCCTCCCAGGTTGATAAGTAGGACTGGACCCGCTCCTAATTGCGGCTCCACTGTGCTTCTGAAGGACCATTCCTTTGAGGCAGGGGGCTGAGCCAAGCCTTTCTCACCTGCGGATCTGCTCCTGCTCAGCTGTGTCCCTGGGGCTGTGAGCCCAGGTGACTCCCTCTTCCTTCCCACTTTGCCTCCCTGCTGCCAGTCCTTGGCCTTGGCTAGAAAATGGACCCATGGGCTGATCACACAGGGAAAGGCTTTTTGAGGCATCCTGAGCCTGCGGCTGTGCAGGGTGGCTTTGGTGAGGAGCTGGTGAGGCCCAGCTGGATGTTCTTTCCTGGCTAAGGGGTCTTCAAAAGTCAGGGGCCCTCTTTCTTCCTTACTCTATCACATCTGGTAAATGGAACCATCGATGATACATCTGACCTTGGTGGTCCTGACAACAGCTGCATTACAAGGTGGCTAGCAAATGAGGGGGGACCCTGGCTGCCCAGATAGCTTCCTGGACATAAGGCTGCCTGGAAATCTTGCTTCCTTAGAATAAGCCTTTCACCTGGTGGCTGGGCAGGGAAACCCCAACACACCTGCGAGCCCACTCCATCAGGAGTTGAGGGAAGGGTGCATCTCCTGTGGGTCTGGGCTGTGGTTTTTAGCCCCTAGATGGGGTCATTCTTTGCAAGGACCACACAGTGTGCAGCACCATCCCTACCTCCTCAGTGCCAGCAGCACCCTGTGTCCAGCTGGGACAACCGGAAGTGTCTCAGGCAGTGCCAGGTGCTCTCTGAGCTGCTGGTCCAGGTGGGACCTCGTTCACCAGCCATCTGTCCCGGCTCACCCTATCTGGAGTTGTTCAGAGCTCCCTGGTCCCTAACATGCCCTGACTGCCCCCAAGCCTACAGGAACATCTTGCCTGTTAGAAACCTAGGGCCGATGTGCACCCCAGGAGTGGTTTCCTCAGCAGAGGCTTCTGCAGATGTTGGCTGGCCTTGCCTACCATATAAGTCATGAGAACCCCCAGCCCTGCACCCATGGACACCGCGGATCCCAGAACAACACTGCACAAGATTCCTGGTAGCCCAGCCTCCGTCTAACCAATTCCAGGGTGCAGACACAGAGGCCAGGGGAGCCTTCGAGTTGTTTAGCAGGGCAGGCCACCAGTTTGCAAATAACAACTCTACAGAGAAAATCTTAGACTACACCATGGCCTAGAGACATAAATGGCCATGTTTTTAGAAGATATCTCAGATAATATCCTTAAAAATCAAAAAGTAAAAAGTAACATTTTAAAAAATTCCTTGAGCGGTCATGGCCTGAACTCATGTTGACTGTTATGTTTTTTAATAGCAATATCAGAGTACTAAATATACAGAAGAAAGTTAATATATATATATTTCATTTACAATGTTTTCCAAATACATAGCTTCGGAATACAGAAACAACTTAAAAAATCTGGAATAAAAGTTCACCTGTAAGGAAATTACACCCAGCCACCTGCCCCCCACCCCACCCAAATATATTGTGTCATGTCTGTTCATTAACAGAATAATGATATGCACTTAAGGAAAACACAACATTAAACCACAGTAGTTTAACTTTTCCAAGAAGATGACACATAAATATGTCTGTAGAGACGGCTGTGGTGTAGATCTATGAAGAACATACACACAGGGGCTTTGCCTCCCTTTTGAAAAAGAACAAGCGCTCTGTGTAAAAGTATAAATAAACAGCGAACAGTTTATTGTATCAGAAAATAATTTAGGAAGAGCAAAATAAACCCAGCTTTTGCTGTACATGAGAAAAGAGGAGGAAATCAGTTCTGAAACATTCAACCTAAGACTGGTGAAAGAACAGGCCAATGTGGCCTTCATTGCCTAATTTCTCATCCTGCGGTTCCTGTTCAGGACTGAGTTTCTGGTCTTGGGTGTGATCTGGGGAGTGGGGGCAGGGCTGGGGCAATGGCCTCTGATGTCATAAATTTGGGTACTGAGACCTGGTGAATAGCAGTGTCATTTGAACACACGGGGGAGAGCTGAAATGGAAATGGTCCTGGCATCCCTCAGATACATCATTCTTGGATAAATACCCCTGTGAAGAATCCATTCTCTAACCATTCTCCATCAGAGCCCAGAGGTGCCCAATCCAAATGGCTGGCCACCTGTTCTACTCCTCAAAAGCCTCTCCTAATGATGACTCCAATCAGCAGCAAATTAAACCGACCATGAAGCCACTGAGGGCTCACTGGATTTCCTTTCTATCAAACATTCCTTGGCCTAAACTCTGAGGGAGCTCTCACTTAGTAGGAAAGGGGTAGAGTGACAGGGTCATTTGTAGAGCCATCCACCTCCCATCACGATAAATTAAATAAACTTAATCCACAAAGTCACTACAGTTCCTGTGAAGCTTTGGTTGCCAGTCTCTTTCATTTAAATGCCTCTAATTTGAGAACCCCTCCCTGGACTCCAATGCTCGCCATCTTGTTTCTCCAGGAAATTAAGAGAAATGACCGGTCCTTCCCCTCCCTGGACTCCAATGCTCGCCATCTTGTTTCTCCAGGAAATTAAGAGAAATGACCGGTCTGTCAGAAAACGAGGCTGTCAGAAAAGAAGAAAAAATTTAAAACCCAAAAGTTGGGTTTCTAAGAAAATGGTTATCTAACTGCCAAAGCTAGCCACATTTTTCTTGAAATCTCAGTATTTCCTACTAAAATTTCTCAACTTCCTCCCCCTCTTCTCTCATGTTAGATGGCACAGGTGGCATTCTTAGCCTTCACAGGAACCAGGGCTATACATGAGATCCCAGGGGGTTTGCAGAATCCCTGTGTTTCCCAACGTTAGAATTCATCTTTAAGGATTGGAGTTATTGTCACCTGATGGAGAACTAACTTTGCTGGGGCTCTTTCACTCTCTGGCTTTAGAGAAAGTGACCCAAATACAAGAGAACACCACACACACACACACACACCAGCAAGAAAGTACAGCAAATTCCTGTGGGTGCTGGCAGGTCAGTTCCCAGTGACTGGTCTGGCACGCCGACTGTTCAAGGCCAGCAGCCTCTCCTTGCCTTCAAGGCCCTGTGCTGACAGGACCATGCCTCAGTGGAGAACACACCCTGTGGAGGGAGCACCGTAAGGACCCTGCCTTCCAGACCTTTCTAGAGCCAGGCTGACTTGCTGTGCACTCAAGAGAAATCACCCATGTTTCTCTGTAGACCCTAAGATGTAAACCCATGACCCTAAGTGGTCATGTAACTTGACATGAGGACTCAGTGTGTGTGAGAAACACTAGAGAGAAGTCCCCAACTGGACTCCAACGGTGTACAGAAAAAGGAGGCTCCTGCTGGAGATGGTGGCTATCCTGGTGCAGAAACTGCCAAGCAATGCTACAGCTCGCTGCTCAACCTTCCAGGGTGGGACATTGGGGTTGGAGCTGTTACAGTGGGATTGACATTGTCCCTGTTGGCTTGGGACTGGGGTGGACAGCAGAATGGAATGGTTCCATTAATAGTTTCTCTCAGGTGGCCCTGCAATAGAGACATATTAGCTCCTTCAGTTCCAATATAGTCATTGGAACCAATCATACTGGGGGTCTTCAACGTGCCACTTATCCAACATTTAGTGGTTACATGTCTTCATGGAACGTAACAGTGACACAAACAGAACTTGGGACTACACAGCGTCCTTGCTTCTTCGTGGCCAAAGCTGTGTCTGATCTAGGAGCAGTAACTTTTCCAGTTCAGCATCAACTGACATTTAGCAACCCAAAGCTCTGTACTCCCCTGCTAAAGCACTTCAGAGTTTCAGGAGTCTTTAGAAGGCTAACCAGGAGTTGGCTGGACCACATCCACATGAGAGGGAAGCTCCCAAGGAGACGTTATGTGGCGCTGCTGATAATCAAGTGTTGAATTCCACATGGAAAACTCCAATCTCTAAAGAATTTTGTTTTAAGAGAAAGGCCACTTGAGACAAAACTAATTAACTTTTACAAAGAATTTCCTACAATCCAATGCTCTCAGTGCCCATGCCTGCTACACATTGCCCAGCACACGAGGGACTATGGAATTCAAGATTCTCACAAGAGCTATTCAGACCCCTGGAGACACCCCAACCACTCTCAGGGCCTAGCATATTAACCCATTTAATGGAACATTATCTATGGCCTATGTGTGCTGTGATTCCAACTTACATGAGAAAACATCACTTGGCCAATTATGTGCTCATTGTTTCCTCCCCCTCACCAGCAGTGGTTTAAACTCGTTCCATCGCAGTGTCCCAGATGTAAGGTTGGCCCCATTTGTATCATTCCTCTTAAGTCCAGACTGTCCTATTTATGACTTAGATTATTCTTGGAGTCATTCAAAAAGACACTCTTGATTCTACACATGGTAACTCCAGGACATTCAGGAAGGTCTCCATTAAGAGAAGGCCATCAATTACTGGAATGATTCACTGTACACTTTTAACCTCAACACCTAGTTAAAACCTAATGTATCATTCTCTTCGGGGTCTTTACAGCTCGGCATTGCTACACATTTGCAGGCTTGGGGCACTCTGATCCATTAGGGAGAAGCCCCCATGCCCCTGCTGTCCATGCCCTAAGGGCCCAGGTTAAGCACTAGCTGGCCTCTGGCTCCTGGCTCAGTGTCAGCTGAGAGGAGAGAGCTGAGCACTTCTGAAAAATGGCTGGCTTTCCTGGTGGGGCTGCTTCCTGTCAGGTGAGGAGGGCGAGGTCACCCCAACACAGTGCAAGCAAGGGACACCCTTTGCACAGAAGCAGCGGTGTACAGACAAACCCCTCGCCTGGCCTGGCTGGCACCCTGCAGTGACCGGCACGGAACCCTGCAGATTGCTTACTGCGTGCTTGCTGGCTAAACTCTTTCTAGAAGAAGCCTCAGCTTTTGTTTGTTGGACGTTGGGTGATTGAAAAGTAAGCAATTCCCTGCCTAAGCCTCGCTCTAGCCTCACCTTCCAAACGCAGCAATCCGTAAACCCAGTAATTATGCAAAACTGCACATAGCCAGGCTTTGCACCCTTTAGAAGGAAGGGCTGCTAGCATATTTCAAAATGCCAAACAATCCTTCCAGTCCTCCCCCGAAATGCCGCAGGTAATGCTAAAGTAGCAAACACACAAATCCCAGCTCTGAATGATGGAGTTTATCTTCTCTGCAGGCAGAGCATTAAGACAAAATAAGTGGGAAGAATAATCCAAGGTTCGAGAGACGAGAATTTGGCTCATTTAGTGGGCTGTGCTAGTTACACTAGGAAACAAACAAACAATCAAAACAGAGTGTGGCACAGCAAATCGACAAATGGCTCCAAAGTAACCACTCCAAAATCACATAAATCACTGCCTGCTTCGGAATAGCTGCTTCTGAAAGAGCAGATGTTGTTTAAGGACAAATTTCAGTGCTCAGTGTTTGCAAAGCACTGCTCTGGTCCAGCAGGAACAGCCCTGTGTTCCTGGAGACTTGGATGACCCAGTCACTTGCAGGTCAGAGGAACACAAGCACTCAACCATCGCTCCATCAACAGGAGACAGAGACGGCAGAGGTCACAAGCAGTGTCAACTCTGCTGTCTCTGTCCTATCACTGCTCCTCTGTCCCTCTACCGCTTGTGTTTCTCTGCAAATGATTTTGTGTGTTCCAAAGTTAATTATCTGCAAAAGCCACAAGAGCAGGACCACGCGCCCTTTGCTTCCAGCAATTCAGCCAACATGGCAGAAGTTCAAGTACTCGCTAAGCAGATGAACGAATGCTCAGCAGTCACCGTGCAGCAGGGCCTCTTCTCCTTCACCTTCCTACGTGTGTGGTATCTTCGCAGAGAACTCATGAGTGGAAACAAGAATGGCTCCCATCTCTATGACTGCACCCGTGTGACCCAAGGGGTGGCAGTGGTGGAGGGAACAGACAGCCCAGGGAGCATCAAGGCTCATTTGCCCTGAGATGTCCCTGATGAAAGAGGTGATGATGTCCAAGACAGGCCAAAGGAAGGTTGTCTTGGTGCCATTATGAATGAAGGACTAGGGTGATCCAGCCTGGTCGTGAACGGGCCATGGGTCCCAGCCTCAGCACTGTTCCCTGCGTCGTCTTCCAAGAGCTCAAGGTCAGTCCAGCCTCCCTGGCTTCAGAAGATCCCAGATCATCTGGGAGAAGAAACAATCAGGCGAACTGTCTCCATGGGCAAGAGGGTCAAAGCAGAGATGGCTTGAGGCAATGCATTCTTTTAAGACCGGGATGATGGCCTGGATATTGAGATAGAGAGTGTCCACAGAGGGCAGCCTGTGGGAGCCAGGGACTCTGCCTGGGGTCAGATATGGCTGTGAGAGTGACATATTTTACAGAAGAAAGATGGGTTTCAGGGTCACCGTGATCATTGCTGACTGACCGGTGGTCACATTGAGAGCTGGGAAATTTCTGGAAAGCAAGCTTCTAAGAGTGAAGAGGACTGAAGGATCATCTGGGAGATGGCTCTGCAGCAGGGGTCTGCTCAGACTCTGCACTGGGGGGGACCAGGGACACCAGGAACCCAGGGGCTGCCCCGTCTGTGTGGGGAGGACAGGGCGTGGGAGCGCCAGCAGCCCTCACCTGCCCTGGGTGTCATTACCCAACCACACAGGCTGCGGAGAGCTGGGACTGGGGCTGGGTGTTGAGTGGCTCGGCTCTGCCTTGCAGTTGGCTGGATCCCGTGCCTGGCCAGAAAGGATCAGGAAGCTTCCCTTCCCATGGCTGGAAAGACTTCCCTTTCCCGCTCAAAACTTGCAAACAAGCAATTCCACTCGCAGTTTAGCCGCATGAGAAAGTGAGAAGTGATTAAACAAAGAGATGGATTTGGACGTGTGACAAGACAGTCCAGACGCCTCCAAGAGCCAAACCCAGGCATCTCAAAGCTCTCTAAGGTGAACAATGAGTCCACTCAGCCTCCGGGGATGGGACCAGGGCACCGGAGATGCAAAGGAAATGGACCCACATGTGGGGACCTCCCAAAGCACCCTCCTCCGACTACTTTCCATGAAGAAAACGAAACTGAAGGAAATGCAAGGAGAAGCCTCAGGGAAGGGGTGTCTGCAAGTGGACTCGATGCCAGAGGTCAAGGCGAGAAGAGGGGATACTCAAGGTCACAGAAGGATGTGGGCAGTGGTATGTGTACCCCCGGACTCCCCGCACCCGAGTGGCCACGGTGTGGGGCTGGCCCTGCCTGTATCATCTCCTCCACAGCTGTGCTTCCAGGGGCGGGTGGGGAGAGGGTGATCACAGAATCCAACAGAACCTGCTCACCATCCCTCTCCAGCACCGGTAAGGGCAGCTGGGCCCACACTCCAGTGAGCAGCCTTCGCCAGTCTAGGTTGTACTCATGTGGCCCCCACTGCCCTGCCCTGAGCTCTGCTGGAGTGGCTGCCGCAGGCCTGTGAGGGCTTGTCGTTCCAAGCTTCCTGCCAAAGCTCAGGGTGTGCAGAGTGCAGCCTGGAGTCTGCATCAGAGCTGACGGGGTGCCCCGCAGGAAAGGCTCCTCATCGCCTCCTGCCAGACCCTGGGTCCTCACCTGGTGCTGACACAGCTGGGAGGGATTTGAAGACAAAGGGACCGGAGCTGGATGACACCCAGGTGCAGGTGCTGCCTCGGAGCTAGCCCAGGCTTTGGGAAAGGGAGGACACACAAAAACCGAAAAACAAGTATCCTATTGCTTGAGCAACACTTTGGATACCGATCAGACAGGACCAGATGAACCATGTTTTCCCTTCCTCACTTCTTCCACTTTCACGTAGTGCAGGAGACATCGAGGAGTTTCTAAGGGAATCCAAGACCCAAGGAAAAGGCAGAATTTTGGCAGCCTGGCTGGTACATGGGGCAGGCACAGTTGCCTGTCTGGCTTCCCATCTTTGACTTGGCCTGCACTTCCCTCGGTTAAATTCAAGCCATATGTGCTACAAAGGGGAAACTCTTTGGAGACAGACCTCTCGCCCCATCGGGGCTTCCACCTCTACCCCTCAAGCGTGGGGCTACGAGGCCCTGCCAGGGCCTGAGCTCGCGGCAGGTCTGCACCTAGGAGCCCAGGTGTCCAGGTAGTAGGGGTGACAGTGCTGTGGGAGCCCCAGCCAGGGTCCCACTTCTCTGGGAAACTCTGAGGCAGTTTCTGCCACTTGCCTGAGGACGCTAGGAGCCCACAAGAGAGCAGCACCTGCTGACAGCCTCCACCAACCCTCAGAGCCACCCCTGTCCCCCAGAAAAAGCAGGGACATCAGACCAGGAGCCCAGAGCCAGCCCGGGCTGTGGCGCACACCACGACCACCACATCTCACTTTCAAGCCAAAGGGCCCCGTGAGCACACACACGGGAAGGATCTTTTCCTTTACTTTGTGGAACTGGAAACTTTCTTTAATTCAGTCTATGCTCATATAACACAAATGCTGGAGAATCCACCACCTACCCAACCTGGCACTCAGCTGGGCCTGCGTAGCAGCAGCCAGCCCCGTCAATATGTGGGCTGCTAGGCAGTATCTTCAGATGGGTAGACGAAGACAAGTGCGGTGTATGCACATGTGTACACATATATATATATAGGAAACCACTGCGCTCTTCGATCTGCCCCAAGACCACACATCACACACTCAGTGTCACTTGGTAAATACCAGCAAAGGCAGGGTGTCACGGGAGGGTTGAGGCTGTCCCGGGAGGGGCGGTGCTGAACTATCAGGTCACCAGGAAGAATAAAGAATACGCTCACCGGTGGGACTGCATCTCCAATATATGCATGAGTGTTTGCGTGTGCAGGTGTGTGCGTGTGTGCACACTCGGTGAGCTTCTGCAGTAGAAAACATCAGTTTAATTCTGTTCATACTAAGCATGTTAAATAAATCAGATTTTGTAACCTAGAACACAATTCTTTTTTAAAAAAGGAACACTGAAGATCTTCAAAAATTGCTACAGTACAAAAAAAGTGTGTGTGTGTGTGTGTGTGTGTGTGTGTGTGTGTTGGTATTTATATATTTATATATGTATAATAACCAGAAATAGTGACTATCGGAACAGACTCCCACCCCTGTTTCCTGTCAGATTTCTACGCATGATTCGCTTGGCTTCGGCTCTGGGCCGAGCCTCTCGGGTCGGTTCATGGCACATAATGGTATTATTGGCACAGGTTCAGAATCGTGGTCCAAATCCCAGGCGTCGGTCGATGCCTCCTCCTGTCCCGTCCGTGTGGCCACCTGGTCTGTGGGTCTCCAGTCCCCTTCTCCCGTGTCTTTGTTCTATTCTCCAAAGAAAACTCCAGGGAAGGCAGTCACCCATAGGCGTGAGCATCTTTACAAAAATATATTTGGCCTAGAGCGCCTGCTATGCGAGCTTCCCACCGGCAGACAGGAGTGGCAGGTACGGGGACCCTCCCCTTAGATAGTTTAGTTTTAGGTTTTGTGTTTGTGTTTTTGTTTGTACAGGTTCACCAACGGAATCCTGCATGGAAAGAAAACAAGAAGAGATTAAATGGCAGTGGGGCCAGGCGTGGGCAGGCTGCGAGGCCCCCAACACACCAATGGATGCCTGGGAGCCCAGGAAAGGGAAGAGCATCATACAGAACTGGGAGCCAGGGACTGGAAGAGATGTGGGGCTGTGAAGGGATCCCTGGCCACCGTGTTCTGCAGTACTCTGGGCTCGCTGGGAAGGGAGTTCAGAGGAGCACCTGCCTGATCCTGGGAGGAGAAAAAAGTCCCTTCTACGCTGTGGCTCAACTGGGGAGACGCTCTTGGAGACACTCCAGGAGGAGACTTTGCTGGAAGAGAGGAAGCAGGTGCTTTCCTCTTTGCTGGAAGAGAGAATGCTGCCTCACCTGTGCGTACACAGGCCAGGTGAGTGGCCTGCAGCAGGCATGGTGGAAGGGGCCCCAACCTGGCCGGTGGGTGTCCTAGGAAGTAGGGACCCAGCAGGTCAGCCTGGGCCAGGCATTGGGTGTGGACACAGGGGCTCCTGGGTGTGGACACAGACTCTGCAGCTGGACATGTACACTCAAAGGGGCACCTGGAGTATGGAGATGGAGGTGCCTCAGAGCTGCCACCAGCACCCCATGGCTGCAGGCAGAGAAGAAATGCCATACTTCCTGGTCCATGCAGATGGTGTAGGTGAGAAAGTAGGGCTGGGGTGTCAAGGGACCCCAGATGAGGTCCAGAGAAGCCCTCAGCTGGAGCACAGATGGCCAGACAGAGCCCCAGCTCTGCAGTTTATCACACAGAGGGGGGACTAGGGCAGGCTCCTTCTGAGGTTCCCCAGTTGGGACCATGAAGGACAGACCCCTGAGTGTCACCTCAGCCCACCTGCTGCCCTGAGTGACACCCGACTGGGCAGCTCTGTGAGGCCCAGACTGGCGCTGTTGGGAGAACACCCCCCCCACTGGGGCACAGGTGCCACCTTGCATGAAGAAACAGGACCTCCTGTCACATGTGCAGACCCCTCTTGGTAGCATTCCCCCAGCCACCTCATCCCGGCCAACTCCTCCACATCTCCAGGGTTTGGAGGAAGGAAAGGTTTTGGGAACCAGCTGATTTAACCCCAAGAGAAACATCCCACTTGCCAACCACCTCCACTCGCATGTTCTTGGTGACGCTGACTCTGGTCCTGGTAGCCTAGACAGTCTATGGCTTCAGCTGCTGTCCTGACCCTGATCCTGGGTTATTAACAGAGGCCAGCTTCACTCAGGTGTGTCCAAGGTTGGACTCCACGTCACCAGGGGGACTCTGCCTACAGAAGAAATGTTCCCCAGGGAGCTGTCGCCCGGGCCTTGATCCCGACCAGGCCAGGGGCCACTCGTCCTCCTTTCTGCTCCCTCTACCTCCTGAAGCTCCATGCCTGCCTGACCTGGACCCGCGATCTCAGCCTTGGACTTCTGGGACTTCTGTCCTTGGATGTGGCCTGTGTTTACTCCTATCCTGTTACCCCTCGGGTGTGGACAATCCATAGTCGCTTTTAGCCTTGTGTGTGTGCATAAGGCAACCATGAACGTGAACTCCCTCAGAACTGGGGTCACCATCCAGCCAGCTGTGGCTCCTGGGGTGGGAGCCAGGCCTAGAAGAAGCTGAGAGGAGATCTGCGCCCAAAAGGGAGTTTTCCCCAGGGTCCCCGGGAGGATTCCTCTGGGCTTGACCCTCCTTCCTGTGCCCCTTAGAGGTGGTGCAGAGGGGCTTGGGCCCCTGAGGTCCCCACAGCTTGGCCCTGTGGGGAAGGGAGTCTCCCGGGTCTACAGGTGCGGGAGACCTGATCCTGTATCTGCAACGGCCACTTCGAAGCAGAGGGTGCGGTGTCCTTCAAGGGCAGGTCGCTGTCTCACCACTGGCCTGGCGGACCCCAGGCTGCAGCTTTCCTCAGCTCTTGCCCATCCTGACTGTGCGAACCGTGGCTCCAGGAACTGCTGAGATGGGTGTTCCAAACACTGTGCAAGGGCTGCGCAGCCAGAGGACAGGAGCCCAGGTGGGGGTCAGGGCTGGCGGTCTGCTTCTGAAAAGAGCATGTGGGCAGCCACTAGGTCCCTGGGCATCGCAGCCGCTGAAGTGATTCTCCACCACCTGAAAGGGACAGGTGCCCCCGAGTCTTCCTGGTGCTCCGTCTCAGAGAGCTCCGCTCCAGCAGGGCCTAGGTATTGCTTTGAAAAGAAGTGTTCCTTTGATTTACAAAAAGCTTGATATCTATTAATGTGTTTTTTTAAAGAACAAAGTGGGAAGGCTCAGGTGCATTTCCTGGTTTTTTATACTAGTTATGTCTTCAGTGTGTTTTTTGAAAATAATAACATGGTGATTTATTTCTCACTTGCTCTGGATTTAAGAGCCTTCACGGCTTCCGTGACTCCATTTGGAACGAGGCGGCTCCAGCGAGGGGGAAGGGTGGAAGTCACCCCCATGAGGTCCTCTGGGGTTTGCTTGTTCCACAAGAAATGACGAGAGGAGCCCACAAAGCACTGTCAGGTGTGAGTCCAAGGCTCCCTTCGTCGAGAAAATAGGGCAGCTTCGCTTTGTCCAGAGCGGCCTGGCCCCAGCGCACAGCTCCATGGGCTGTGATGGGGATGGGATGGGGTCTGCCGCAGATGCGCCTCGGGGCTGCACGGTGCACATCTGTCCTGAGCCTGGGCTGCAGGGAAGCGGATGTGGTCTCTGTTGGGTCCACGCGTGCACACAGATGGGCATGAGAAGGCGAGGAGCCGTGTGATTGCGGGTCGCTCCATCATCGTTGAAGATGCACTTGGGGAGTCTGTACAGCTGTGTGAGAGACAAATATCTCCACCGGCTCTTAAACTTTAATTAAACATTTTAGTATTAATTGCTATTTATTTAAGGGACAATAAGTACCCTGTAAATCTGAGCGAGCTCTCTGGCTATTCTCCACTCCATGTCCAAGCCTGGGTACTCAAGAGGACAATCAGGGATGCTGACAACCTGCACGCTTCTATCCTGGTGACAGTCTGTCCCGCTGGTGGGGCAGGGACTGGAAGCATTTGCCAGGAACTAAGTAACAAGGCTGTGTGCGCCGCCCTCCTGGTCTCTGTCCACTGGGGCCACAGGAGCCACAGGAGTGGAACATGGTTTTGCCAGCAGATGCAGTGACTGAGCTTGGCCCTCTGGACTCGGTGGCTCTTGGTCCTTCTTGACTCCATTCACGGCCCCTTGGGGTCCACAGAGAGGGACCCCTGCTGTCCAGAAACAGGGACATTCCCTTGTGGGAATGGGGTAATCTGAAATAGCTCCCAGTTGCCCCTCTGGGTACCCACATCTCACTCCCTCCTGGGTGTGGGCTGGGAGAGCTGCCAGTACCATTCATTGTGGGGTCTTGGCGTCCACAGGCTGAGAGGAGAGAGGCAGACAGAGGAGACTGAGGGTTTTCTGGAGCCATCATGTTTGCACAAGCCAGGGCTGTGGCTCTGCTCTGTGTGCAGGAAGACCTCTGGGCTCGGGGGAGGAAGCTGTTCCCCGGCTGTGGTGGATTAACTAATGGTCAACTTGTAATGCCCAGCTGAACTGAATCAGTGTGGTCTGGGCATGGAGGAACCACCTGAGGATTGTTACCAACAGCCATAAAAAGAACTGGGGAGGAAGATCTTGGCCTGTTGATTTTCGAGGAGAAACTTTCTGCAGGTGGTTTTCTTGATGAGAACTAGGCTGTTCTCATCAGAGGAGGAGCTCTGGATCTCACCGTCGCTGGGAATGGCTGCTGCTTTCATCAGGGGAGCTCTGACCTTCACCGTGAGCATCACTTCCTGGCTCCGATGTGGATCCCTCAGCTTGGTGGTACAGATCCTTCATCTTACGAGCATAGATTTTCTGGCTTCCACCACTGGCCTTTGGGCCTTCCCGGTGCAGCTCCTCAGTATGGACAAACATAAGATATTGCTGGCTGGACTCAAGGAAGACACTGTGTTGCACTCTAAGCCTTTAGCTGGACTTGTGTGGGAAACTGCTGGGATCTAGCCCTCAGTTGAACATTTTGGGCTTCTCGTGTGTGGTTAATCTTTCACACACCTTTGCACTTGACTCTTTGGGTAATTATCATAAAATAGCCTTATAGGTTATATGTCCTGTACTGAATATATTGCCTTGCCCCCTCCTGCTGACTACAACACCGGCCCTGTTGGGTGTTCTGCCACCTCTGGGCTGGGGGCTGAGCTGGGAATTCCAGTCTCAAAGCCTGCCCCAGCTCTCCTCCGGCCTGGCAACAGTGGTGTTCACAATGCAGTGGGGTCTGGCTAAGACCTGCAGTGAGAGCAGGGGCTGCCTGGGGCTGATCCATCCTCATGCTGACAACCTGCCTGATGCCAGCAAAGTCTCTACCTTCCCCCAGCCTCAGTTTCCCCTGTGAATGGCATTGTGGGGAGGACAGGACAAGCCTGCACGGAGGGCTCCAACGATGAGTTGGGAATCTGCACATTGGGGCTGTGCCCTAGGGAAGGCCACGTGGAGCGGCAATGTTCCCTCCAGTCCACAGGCCTGGGCCTTGAGGTCAGTGAATCACGCTGTACACGGATGCACTTTTTAAGCTGCGACAGAGATGCAGCCATGTGGCGCTGGAACGGGCCCACGCTTCACCAGGCTCCACTGCTCATAAGTGTCCTGCTGCCATGTGGCTGCAGTGCCCAAGGGGGCTGTCTGCAGTGTCACGGGCTGAGCCATGGCGGGCAGACATGGGCCCTGGCTCTGACGACACGCGGTCCCTTGCCCCACCTGGGGAAAGGCTGGGCCTGTGTGCTCCCCGCTGGCCCACATGGGCTCCGCCATGGCCTCCGCAGGGTGGCTTGTTTCCAGCCTAATCCAATTACACCTCCTTCCCCCTGCAGAACATTTGGCTTCAGGACCTGGAAGGAGAGCTGGAGATTGGACTTGAGAACGTGCAATTCATTAGTGCAGGGATGAAGAACTGACCGATTCATTCCCACTCCAACCGCAGCCAGCTGCCTGCCCTGGCTGAGGGTCACAAGTGGAGTCCGGTCACCTTCTGGCTCTGCAGCCCACACCAGCCATGCTGGCTCCAGACCCCCGCTCGTTCTGCTACGCAGAAGGTGAGCGGTGGCAAGGAAGCAGAGGCCGCTCAGCCCTGGTGTCCCACCGAAAGCCAGGGCCCCCTCCCTCCGAAGGGAGAGGACAGGGAGAGCCTCCCTTTCTCCGGGGACACACAGAGCAGAAGAGAGACCCTAGTGAGACCGCTGTGGACACCACAAAGAAAAACAAATCACACACGAAGAAAAATGGAGGCCCCAAGGCTGAGCCTGCAGCCCATAGGAAGCCCTCTCCCCCTGCGCGCAGGAATTCACCTTCATATCCCTGAAAGCAAACCGAATGTTCCTGCCCAGCAGAGCGTGGAGAATTCATCCTGTTTTGGTACCGGTCCCTAGCTTCAAATTAGTAGATGTCTCAACTCTTCGCTTTCTTTCTCTATCATGTTCCTTCTTATCTCTTATTTTTATATTTCAAAATTGTGTTTTCATTCTGCCTTCCCTCCTCGATGCAAAGCTGTGCAATGAGCATGTGGCCCTGCCCGCTTAGCTGCTGCCCTGCCTCTTCCTGTGGAGGAGGAGAGCTGTGATCCGAGCTTGTTTCCAGAAGTGATTTTTTCCCTGCCCAGCAGGCCCTGCTCAAGGTGTGCCCTCTTTTTCTTTTCATTTTGTTAGTACTGGGACTTGAACTCGGGGCCTTGCGCTTGCCAGGAGGGCCTGTGCCTCTGAGCTACCTCCTCGGTGCAGCATGGTGCCCTCTTTAGGGAGGACAGGCACAGCCAAGACATTCCTGGCAACAGCGCGTGTCTGCATCTGCTCCACAGGGACATGGGGCGGGGGTCTCTAACAGATGCAACCTGGGGCTGGACTACAGCGCCCTAGTTTACATTCAGCAAGGTGCTGCCGCCACCGGAACCCACCGCCCTGGACAGGGCCAGGAAGATCCAGTCAGAAGGGAAGAAGGTTCAGAGGTACGTACCATGAGACAGACACCTGGCGTCTGCCCTGCCCCAGGAGGTAAAAAGTCTTGGGCCAGTCAGCAGGAGATTTCAAACCATTTCTCAGACACGAAGGCCACAGGGATGAGATGCCGGTCGGCGGCGGAGGAGCTGTGGAAAGGCGAACAGGGAAGTGGGCTTGCGCATGCGGCATGAGACACACAGGCGAGCAGGCGCCCACAGGGACCCCGTGAGGTCGGCAGGGAGGGCCCCTTGTGCGCTGCCACCCTCTGGGGATAGGCCTTCACTTGCTAACCCTCCATCCAGAGCCTGGAGGTTTAGGGGCCTGAAGTTCTGGCACAGAGGCCGGGGTCTGCTGTCACACATGCTGTGCCATCTGCAGATGTTGGCTCTGGAATCCGCAGGCCGAGCTCAGAGCAGGGGTCTGTGGCTGATGGCAGAGACTGGACATACTTCAGTGCTGATGACGGAAAAGGTGGATCCAGCTCCCTTCCCCTTGAAGGCTGAGCTACCGAGTCCCAAGACCAACGGAAAGCAGGGAGCAAGCGCAACCGAGGCCCGGCCGCAGGAACACAGACCCCCTGCCCCAAGACCCCATCCCTCCCCGGGCCGAAGCACTGGTTGGCTGCCCAGGCTTCAAATCCAAACCAACACACAAACTTTCAGTAAAATGGTTTGGAAAGGCTCTTCCAGGTCTCCATGGCCTCCGCCTCCGGAGGGAGAGCTCAAACGTGAGAGCGTGAGGTCAGAGGTTCAGGGCCTTCTGTGCTCAGCTGGCCCCCAGAAGGAAGGGGATGTCTAAGGAGAGAACCCAAGGTGCAGACACAATGGCTGAGCTCAGAGATACCTAGGGGACCTCTGCTCCCCCCAGCTGCAGGACGAGGGCACGGGAGCTGCAGACACTGCAGCCAGCCATGGCAGCCCCATGGCCAGGTCCCGCCTCCCATCCCCGAATAAACCAGCAACCAACACACAAGCAGCAGACAACGGTTCCTGAAGCCGCCCATGCAGCTCGGGGCCCTGCTTCCCTTCCTGGGTGCTGCTAACAGGGCCTCCGGGCAGCCAGGCGGCGGGCTCATTTCTCCCAAGATTTTTAACTTGTTGGGGAACTTTTTTTTTAATCTACAAAATGATGCATGACTGTATGCGCCTTTAAAGAAATAGCTTATTGATATTTTAATTTAATTCTGGACAACCCTTCAGGAGCTGACTCAAGGGTTTCTTAAATATTCCCGAGGATGGTTAGGATTATGTCTTGTCTGAGGGCTCACCGGTGAATAATAAAAAAGAGCATTTAATAAGAAGCGTCTGGTGCTGGAGTCAGCCTCGTACTTGATATTTCTGCTGCACTCCCGGCTGACATTTTATTGACGAGGCCGGGAGACACCGGCTCTGGGCGGGGCCAGCTGGGATCAGTTGGTATTCAGGAGGTCGTGACCACAGGGCCCTGAGGAGTTGCATCACCATCCTGCGGCCACTCGCAAGTTGCGCGAGGGAATCGGCTGCTGAGGCCTCGAGTCCCTCAGCTGGCGACAGTAGCTGTGAGCCCTGTCTCCACGCGCGATGGCACAGGCCAGCACCCGCCCGAGCTTACCGGTTCCCGTTGAACGTGGACTTGTACTCGCCCGCCGGGTGCAGCGTCTCGTCGGTGTAGACTGGCATGGACGGCCGCACGCACTCGTGGGAACATTGCAGGGTCTCATTGTAGGCCGTGAAGATGTCCAGGCTGCTGGGCACACGTGCCGAGGTGAAGTCAGTGAGGTTCTGACAGCTCTCCTCCTGCTGGTTGACCTTCCGCTGGTGGCTGTTCCTCCGAGTGCTCCCGCTTTGGGCACAGCTGGGGAGAGAGAGGCTGGGTGGGGGCGGGCAGGTGCCAGGGTGGCAGCACCTTCGCCTCCAGGGGCAGCGGTGGAGGAGGAGGCAGGAGGAGGAGGAGAAGGCAGGCGGTGGTGGTAATTCCTAGCCTCTTCAGAAAGATCAACCACAATCAAGCAATCAGCTCCTTTCTTTTTTAAATATAAAATTTGAATTTTAAATGTGGGCATTATCATGGGAGAGATGGGAGGGAGGGCAGCAGCCAGCCTGCAGGGCCTGCTTGGCTGAAGAACCTCTGCCAGAGGGTGGTGTGACTCAGTTTCTCCACACAGGTCCCAGTGAGCTGGAAACTGAGGCAGCTTGCATTCAGTGGGGCTGATTCAGTGGGGGCTTTGGGGACAGGAAGGGGGGCGTTTCTCCTAGGTGGTAGTCTCTGGAGAGACTAATGGGATGGCGGAGCCCCGGTACCCAGCCTCAGCGGGATCCAGATCAGTTCTTGTGCTGGAAGCAAGGGTTGGAGGAGGCTAACCTGCTGCCCCCGGGCAACTGCCTTGTCTTCCCATTTCTCTTGATTCCAGGGGCTCCCAGCAGCCACCCTAACTCTAGCCCTCAGCGACCCCCGGAAGCCACCACAGTGCCAACCCCACAGGAAGGAGAAGTGGTGGTTGTGGGAGATTCCTGTAGCTTGGGAGCCAAGGGCGCCCCCGGGAAGGTACTGTCTCCTCCCACAAGGCTGCACCAGGGCAGGGGTCCCTCTTCTGTAGGCCTCCTTGTCCCCAGGAGGGGAATCCTGTTCCCACAGTTGAAGCCCAGCTCCCAAAGGAGAGATTTGAATGCCAAAGGCCAAGGGCCCAGCCTGCCTGGTGCCCCATCCACGGAGCCAGCTGAGGGTCACTGTCACCCTGGCTGCAACCCTGAGCTCCTTGAGGGCTTGCTGTTAACCAACATGCTGGAAGCCAGCCTGGAAACCAGCATGGTGCCTGGTCCCACCACGGACGGCTAGAGAGGACACAAGGCTCCTCCCAAGACAGACTGTAGATCTGCCTGCCACACGGTCCCCAGGTCCAGGGGCCCAGCCTGCCCCCTGGCTGAGCAGCTCTGCTGTGACAGCTGTGTTGTCCTTGTCTCCCATCCCCAGTGAACACCCCAGGCTCCCAACTGCCTGCTGGCCCTCAGGAGGTGGCTGGGGGACCTCACCAGGTGGGAGGGGTGCTCCTGGGTTGCCCCACCCTCCTGCCACCTGCTGTCGGGTCCCCCATGGGTGACAGGGTTTCTCTGCCAGTTCCTTGTGCATTCCTGTCCAGGCAGCAAGGGGACCCTTGGCAGGGCTGCTCTGTGGGGAGCTGGGGTTTGGGCAGCTGGAGCAGGCTGAGGCCCCCGTGATGCAGTGGGGTCATCGGGGAGGCCCCTGTTTTCTCTGGGACACATCAGGTGCGCGTCCCCGGCTAGGCCAGCCGCAAAGTAGGCCACTTTCCAGGAGGGGACGGGCTATGGTGAGCCACCCACAGCAAAGCGGTGACCTAGTTCACAGACACAAGTGGCCACGGGAGCGAGGAGGTGGTCCAGGTGGCTACACGGAGGACCCGTCCCTGCCATTTCTGGGAGGGGCCATGGGAGACGCCAAGGGGGCTCGGCTCTGGGTGAGCATCCACGGTCCATGAGGATCCAGGGACGGCGTGAGGAGTGGAAGTGGCATCAGCCCAGATACCGCATCCCAGGGCCACCATGGGAGGCCGCCCAGGAGCCCTCTCCGCTGCAGCCAGTGCTTGGACCAGGAAAAACGGTCCCCAGGGCTCCGAAAGGAAAAGCAGGGGCCTCTGTGAACTCCCCCGGACCCACGCCCCCCACCTCCAGGCCTTACCAATTTTTTAAGACAAGAGTTGTGATGAGAGCAGCGATGACCATGATGAGGGAGACGGTGATGGTGATGATCTGATGCACAGCCAAACCTGGAGAGGACGAGACAGGGGTCAGGGACTGGCGCCCACAGGCCTGGGGTGCAGGCCAGGCCCAGGATCCACCCAGCCTCTCCCCTGCCACGCTCAGTCTTGACTATGACATGGCCGTGGTCAGCTCTATCCCTCTCGTCCCCACTGAGCCATCACCTGCTGCCTCTACCTGGCCTCCAAGGAGCACTGCTGGGAGTCTCCACCCCGGGACAGGTTTTGGGAAAGCCTGAGGAGCCCAAATGGCCTGGGACTTTTGGGGAAGGTGAGTCACAGACCTGCAGACCCCAGAGCACGCAGGTCACTGGGAGGCGGCTTCCTCTTTCCAGAGCCCCCCCTAAATTGCTCTCTGTCTGGTGGAGGCCTCAGGGGCAGGAGGAAGCTTCCCTAAGAGGATCCATGGGCAGGCCTTGCTGCCCTGTCCTTTCCTGGCAGGGGAAGGAAGTGGCAGGGCAGGGACAGGACAGGCCACTCCCACAGTGGGACAGTCTGACCAAGAGCAGTCTGCTGGTCAGGAGACAGATGGCAGAGGACAGCCACCCTCTCACTCTCCTGCTGTGCCCACCCTGCCATACACTTCCTGGGGCATGGCACTATATCCATGCATGGCCACGAGAGCCAGCCAGGGCCACCTGGAAGGCCCACCTTTCTGGCGCTGTCCTGCTGTTGGCAAGAGCCACATCTGGAGGACAAAGGCCTAGGGCTTGTGGCACCTGCCCTCCCCAGGCACCGATCTGCCTCCACCTAAGGCTTGAGGGTGCCTCCTGTCTCTGCCCAGTGCCTACTGAATGCCCTCTGTGCAGACTCTCCTGCCTGACCTGGTGGGCTGCAGAGAGAGAACACATGTGTGTGTTCCCTTGTGGCAGATTGCAGAGTCGAGATTTTCCTGGCAGCCTCCCCGAGACAGAGTCTCACAAGCAGATGTTACCTCTCTGCTGAATATGATCCTCTTAGGGGAAATTGTTCATAAATGATTAAAAGTTGGCACAGTCGGAAACTGAGCTTTCTCTCCCTTCCCCCTTTGGGGGCTATATTGCCAGTGCTCATGCAGGACTCAAGGGAACCCACAGGAGGAGCACCAGAAGCTGCAGGGCCCTTCCAGGAGTGCCATGGCCCCTGTCTTACATCTTTCACCCACTGCTTCACAATCTGCTTGCTAAGCGCTTTCTGTGCCAGCCCCAACACCACCTCAGAGAAATACTACTCCCGTGCCTTTATCAAAGTGGTAGTGTTTGCTGCCATTTCTGGCCAGTGGTCTCCAAAACTACTGCGCCCAGTTCATGGTGCCCAGTGTAAACCCTGGGTAAGTTTTGCTACTCCTCCAAGATGGCCAAGTCAGCTTGCCAGCAAGGTGGAAGCTAAGGCAGACTGTAGGAAGCGCCCACCAGACCCTCTGAGACCCAACAAAAGCTACATGCAAAGGATCTAAAAAGATGTATGACTCAGTGGAAAGCCATGGAGGAGTTGTTGACTGCTCAGCTTCTACCCACACCCATGGGCCTGGTCAAGTGACAGCCATGCTGTAATGAAGAGTATGTGCTTGTCCTGTGTTGGGGATCAAGACAGCAGGAGGCTGAGATGGCAACGGTGAAGGTGATGGTCACGATTGTGGTTGTGACAGTGACAGTGTTGATTAGGATGACGATACCATGATGGCAATGACAAGGGCAGTGGTGATGATGGTGATGTTGATGTTGACAGTGATTACAGTGGCCAGAATTGTGGTTGTGGTGATGACAGGGTTGATTATGTGCCATCACCATAGTGGAGATGATAATGGTGGTGACCGTGATGGTGATGATGGTGGTGACAATGATGACTGATGGTGGTGGTGATGGTGACGGAGGTGGTGGTGATGGTGGTGACAGTGATGACTGTGACCATGGTGACAATGGTGGTGATGAAAGTGATGGTGGTGACAGGGATGACTGTGGTGATGCTGGTGATGACAACAGTTATGATTTTGTTGAGGAAGAGGAGGAGGAGATGGTGATTATCACTATCATCACTATCACCCAAATCCTCACCAATACCATCATTATCACCACTGTCCCATCACCACCACCAGCACCATTGCTACCAAATTGCCATGATGATGATGAAGAAGATGGTTTGGCCGTTATGATGACTGCAAATGATCGCAGATGTGTTCAACAGTGGTAGCAATTGGCAAGTGTGTTGTTGACCCATTGGAACGGCTCTCAGTGTCAGATACTGTCGTTACCACTCTTGGAGCAGGAAACACTGTGGGGGATTTGCAATATCCTCTGATCACATAGGATGTGCTGGTTGCACAGCCCCCACTAAGAGCAGCTGTATTAGGGCACGGCCAGCTCAGACGTGGTTGATCTAATGTTGACTCGAGCTGGTGGTGTCTCTGTGTCCCTTCCTCTTTCTGGAGGGCTGGCTCCTCTCCCTTCACCAGGCCTGGGAGAGAAAAGCTTCTATTCTCAGGGACACAGGAGCTTGTGCCCACCCTTGTACCATGGGAAAGCCCTTTGGGGACTCTCGGCCACTTCTGGTACGCCATGGCCTGGCTCCCACAACAGAAAGTAAATCTTTGTTTGGGGAGCTAAATTTCCTGAGGTTGGAGAACTCAACATCTGCAGAGACGGGGGTATAAAAGTGTGATGAGCCCTCAGGGAGCAGGGGAGACTGGGCCACCCTGGGATATGGCCCTCCCCAGGCTCTGAGTGTTTCTTAGGAGAGCTTTACACTCCATTCTCCATCCTCAGTGTCCACTGGCCAGAGAGGCCCAAGGCACCCCCAGATTGTAGCCTCTCCTCCTGCCACTAAGGGAATCCTTCTGTTGGGGTGAATCCCTGCAATGGCCAGAAATCTGATTTTTAGATTTCTCAGGCAGTATGGTCTCTGTGTGAATCATCTTTGGATTACTATAACAAGCCACCAGAGGCAGCTGACTTTATAAAGAAGAAAGGTTTCTTTAGCTCACAATTTTGGAGGTTGGTACAGTTTGAATCATGTTCTTCAAAGGCTCTTGTGCTGAAGGATTGGTCCCTAGCTGGTTGTATGACAGGGAGGTGGGTAGTGGGAGATGTAAGGTCACTGGGGGATCCCCTTATAGGGGACATCGGAACACAGGTCCCTCCTCCTGTGTCCCAGCTGCTGTCAGGTGACCAGCTTTGCTTGTCATACTCTCTACAAAGCTGTGGGGCCAGGCAACCATGACTGAGACCACTGAAGCCATGAGCCAAAACAAGTATTTTTCCCTGAGTCAGTTTTCTCAGGTTTCACATTGCAGGAATGGTGAGCTGACTTGAGGGCACACAGGAACAAGCAAGGGCTTGGCTTACACCTTGAGCCAGGGTGGAGTGATACAAGCACACCATGCTCTGTAAGGGGATGCCCCATGAACAGGATCTTGTCCTAGGTCTTGCCTCTGAAAGGTTCTGCCCCCTTCCCAATGTCCCCACCCTGGGGACCAAGGCCTGCATCACAGTGGGCCTTCCGGGACACGCAAACCTCATCTAAGCCATAGCAGTCTCTGTCCCCATTAGGAAGCTCTGCCACTGTAGTGCAGATGCAGCCACAACAATGCAAACAAGGAGGTGTGGCTGGGTCCCCAGGAGCATGTTCGTGAAAGCTGGGGCCACATCTGGTTCACAAAGAGCCACAGTGATTTCCTCATAAATTACACAGAATTGCATATATATTTTGAACAGATGATGAAATCTGAGACTCAAGCTGCAATCTTCTGTTCTGAAACACTGGAGTTTTCCCATTCCATCATCAAAGGGCTTTGTCTGCTGGGATTTTCCCTGGCTGCTGTCAAGGCACTGTGAAGACATCCATAGCCTCTCACTTAGGGTTGGGCTGGGACTCCCAGCAGCAGGTGGGCTCATCCTACTGGGTCTGACAGTGAGAAGCAGCCAGAGAGAAGATCCTGTCACATGACACTTCCCCAGAGAAGTCACTTAGACAGGATTCTTGATTTTTGAGAATCAAAACTCAGGGAGAAACTGACCAATTTAATCCCTTCAATGGCCCTCAGAAATATCTCAGCCACACGCCTGTTTCAATTTTCTCCACTCATTTGAAGAGAAACTGCATCTTGCAGAAGACAAGGGTATTCCCATCCTGCAGCCGCTGAATGGAGAGGGAGCTCTTCCTTTTCTGTCCTTACTCCTGGCTGTCCCTCAACACAGGGACTATCCCCTCTGGCTAAGTCTCCAGTGACCACTAAACAATGCAAGCAGGAATGTGCATCCGCAAACCGACTGACCCTGGGCAGGGCAACCTGAGTAGTCTCCATGCCAGCTGTCAGGTAGACTGTGATTCGGTCGGCAATGATGTCACCAAAGGGAATGCTTATGCCCCGCCCCTGAGACAGGAAAACACTCACCAACTTTTCCCTCTCCGTTTCCAAGGTCACTATTGAATCCTATCCTCAAACTTTGCGATGCAGGCATGGTGCTGGAGCCCAGGAGCATGCCGTGTGGGGATTCTTGCTTCCCTTTCCTGACAGGTGTTATTGTTCCTGCTAATTTAGGGGCTCTTTCTGCTCCTGGTAATTGCCACTGTATACTAATGTGCTAGGAATCAGCGCCATCCAGATAATGAAAAATTACACCCAGAATAATGGATGGGGACAGATGGATTACCAAGCTCTGCATCAATCAATGGGGCTTTTATGGTTATATTTGTGGTGGTTTGTAATAAGATCAGGTCCTGAAGATTAATGTGCAAGTTGGTAATCCATCTCTGGGTCTGAACGAGGTCTTATTAAAAGAAGCCGAGTCAAACACGGGCCATTGTCCGTGGCAAAAACAAACCCATCACGGGCTTGCTTTCCTGGTGTGTGAAGGGGGTGTAGCTCATTTGGCCGTCACACTTGGATGGAGACAGGAACAGTGGCCCTGAGACTTGCCCAGGAAAATGGATGACACTTCTGTGCCTGGCATAGCCCATTTGACATTGCAGGGGTCTTGCATAGCCACACTGTGGGGAACAAAGCAGGAGACCACTGGAAGTCAGGAGGTCTG